TATGGTAGGACGTTCAAGCTGGACCGAAACTCGGTGAAGATCGGCGAGGGCAGCCCCTTGGTGAACAAGTCCGCAAACTGAGAGCTGGAAGGGACATGAAGAACTCGAACTTCACCGAGTGCCACACGATCTCGAACGAAGTGAAGATCAATCTCTATGTGTTTAGTGCGCTGGTGCTGAACCGGGTTAGAAGAGAGATAGGATGCGCTGATGTTGTCACAATAGACAATGGTGGCGCGAGAGGGAGGCCGCTGGAGCTCGTGAAGAAGCTGGCGGATCCAGCAGGACTCAGCCACACAGTTGGCAACGCCACGATATTCCGCCTCGGCACTCGAGCGAGAGACGGTCGGTTGTCGTTTGGATGACCAGGAGATCAAACTGTTGCCCAAGAAAACACAGAACCCCGACGTGGATTTACGTGTATCAGGGCAGCCGGCCCAATCGGCGTCCGTATAGGACACAAGATCAAGTGACGGAGACTTGAAGAGTTGAAGGCCGTAGTGAGTGGTGCCCCGGAGATAGCGAAGAACACGCTTGATAAGCTGCATGTGAGTGTCCCGTGGTTGATGCATGAAGAGGCAAATTTGTTGCACCGCGTAGGAGATGTCCGGTCGGGTGAGGGTTAGGTATTGCAATGCGCCAGCAAGGCTCCGCTATGTGGTGGGGTTGGATAGAGGACGACCGTCGGTAGCAGAAAGTTTGGCAGTGGTGTCTATAGGTGTGGAGACAGATTTGCAATTAAGCATGTTGGCACGGTCGAGGACCTCGAGAGTGTACTGTTGCTGGCTCAAGAATAAACCGGAGGTGTTGGGGGTGACATTAATGCCGAGGAAGTGATGCAACTCACCGAGATCGGACATGGCGAATTCCGCTTTGAGAGAAGCAATGATGGAATGCAAGATGTGCGGTGTACTGGCTGTAAGAATTATGTCATCAACGTACACTAGAAGATATGCAATGAAGGACCCTTGGGATAATATGAAGAGGGAAGAGTCACTTCGAGAGGCATGAAAACCATGGGAGAGCAAAAACGACTTGAAGCGATGAAACCACGTGCGGGGGGCTTGTTTCAAGCCGTAAAGAGACTTACGAAGGAGGCAAACATGATCCGGATGAGAGGGGCCGATGAAGCCGGATGGTTGGGCACAGTAGACCGTCTCCTTGAGCTCTCCATGAAGGAATGCGTTCTTGACATCGAGTTGATGGATCGACCAAGAGAAAGAGGTGGCAATGCTGAGGACCACGCGTATGGTGGCCAGCTTGACCACCAGACTGAATGTCTCATCATAGTCCACGCCTTCTTTTTGAGTGAATCCGCGAACGACCCAACGAGCTTTGTACCGCGCTAAGGAGCCATCGGGGTGAAACTTGTGACGATAAATTCATTTGCCAGTGACCACGTTAACACCTGCAGGTTTGGGAACGAAAGACCACGTCGAATTCTTGATTAAAGTAGTAAATTCATCTTGCATTGCATGCAGCCAACTGGGGTCTTTGAGAGCTGAGCGATAGGTGGCAGGGATGGGGGAGATGGTGGGTGCCGTGGTGGTGGTGAGAAAGAGGCGCTTGGGCTGGCAAAAACCAGATTTGGCGCGGGTACGCATTTTGTGCGAGTTAACGGGAGGCTGAACGGGTATTGCATGGGGCGGACGACGTTGCGGAATCTGGTAGGTGGAGGCGGGTTCGCTGGGACCAGAGGGTGGCGCGGGATCCGAAGTAGATTCGGTCGGGGGTGTAGCATGCGAGGTGGAGGCGCGATTCGAGGTGGATTGACTGGGCCCGCCGGATTGACTGGGCGGGGTGAGCGGTGATCCTGTAGGTGGGGACGACCCGGAGGACGAGGACGATTCGGTGGGGCTGGCGGAGCGTGTGGAAGGGGAGCGCGTGGAGCGGGAAGACTGGTGGGCCGATGGGTGGGGCGACGGGATTGGCGGGGCGTGGGTTGGTGCGGATGCACACGAGTGGGGGGGATCAGGTGGTGCGTCGGGATCGGAGCGGGGCAGCTGCAGCAGGATTTGGTTGGTGGGATTAGGTGTGGCAAGGGGCTGGGTGGTCGACGGTGTGGCATGCACATACGGAAAAACGGATTCATCAAAAACGACGTGGCGAGAGATGATGACACGGCGTGAAGCTAAGTTGTAGCAACGATATCCTTTATGCTCAAGTGGGTAACCTAGGAAAACGCACCGGGTGGACCGGGGGGCAAGTTTGTTGGAAGAGGTGGCGTATAAGTTAGGAAAGCATAGGCACCCAAATACGCGAAGATGATCGTAGGAGGGATGAACACCGTGGAGACGAAAGTAGGGCGTGGAGCCATGGATGGCACGGGAGGGTCGACGGTTGAGAAGGTAGGTAGCCATGTGGAGTGCCTCAACCCAAAACGGGGGAGTAAGGTTGGCTTGAAAAATGAGTGTGCGCACAACGTCATTTGTGGTGCGTAGGAGACGTTCCGCCTTGCCATTTTGAGGGGAAGTGTGAGGACATGAGAAGCGGCAGGAGACGCCGTGAGTAGAGAAGAAGGAGCGAAGGGCGGAGTTGATGAACTCACCACCATTGTCGCATTGGATAGCTTTGATGACTACGTGGTATTGGGTGCGTACATGAGCAAAGAAGCGTTGCAAAGTGAGGGACGTGTCCGATTTTCGCCGTAGGGGGAAAGACCAAGAGAAGTGAGAGTAATCGTCGAGAACAATCAAATAATATTCATAGCCGGAGAAACTCACAACCGGCGAGGTCCATAAGTCACAGTGAATAAGCTCAAATGGCGCATAAGTGCGGCTAGAAGAAGAGGAAAAAGGGAGTCTAGGTTGGTGCCCTAGTTGACATGCAGTACAAGGGCCATTGTATGGCTTATTACACGGGAAGGAAAAAGTGCTAGAAATGGATTGAAAAGCTTGTTTGCTTGGATGGCCGAGGCGACGGTGCCACACATCGCCGTCGGAGGTCGTAGCAGAGAGAGCAGTGCACCACGTCGTGTTGTTGCCGAAGAATGGGTAGAGGTCGCCGGAGATAGCGGAGATCAGGATTACCCTCCGTGTGCGAAGATCCTTCACAAGAAAGCCAAAGGGGTAAAACTCGATGGAACAAAAATTATCTTTTGTGAATTGACGAACGGAGATAAGGCTAGTGGAGACGGAGGGAGAGTAGAGGATGTTGCGGAGATGGAAATTGTGGGGAGGGAGTGTGGTGGAGCCGGTGGCATGAATAGGGAGATGATGGCCATTGCCTACTACAATGCTAGAGAATTTACGCTGTAAAGAAGAGTCCGAGCGGGTGAGGTTACCAGGGTTGCCGGTGACGTGGTTGGAGGTGCCACTGTCGAGGTACCACTCATTGGAAGGAGCGGTGTTGTTGAAGCCCTGGTTGCTGTAGGCGGCGTGGAGGAGAGCCAGGTGATCCCATGAAGGCTGCTGGTACGGAGAGGGCACGCCGTAGGGCGTGTACTACATCGGGTACGCCTGAGCATGAGACCCCGGACGTGGACCGAGGACGCCAGCCACGTTCGGTGGCACCCAGCCAGGGCGCGGTGGAGGGATGGCCATGCCGTACGGGGCGAAGAACCCCATGTAAGGGTTGAACGGCGCAGAAGACGAGCCGCCACGTCCTTGCTGGCCGCCGCGGCCACGACCACGGCCACGGCCGCGCCCGCGTCCGCGGTCACCACCGCGATCGCCCCCACGGTCACCACCGTCGCCGCGAGGGTTGTAGTCGCGGCCGGGAGCGCGGTCCACCCGATCCTGAGGCCGATCCACCCGATCGCCCGAGTGGGAAGTAGAGCCCACGCCGCTGTTGGAGCCGGAGGCACCGGACGGGCCGCCGAACCCTTGAACGGCAAGGACCGTGGCCGGGGCCTCTGCGGTGCGCTGAGCGAGGTTCTCCTCGGCGAGCTTCAGGCGCGAGAAGACGGTCTCGAACGGGGGCAGGGGAACCGTGTCCCCCAGCACGACCCGGATGGTGTCGAGACGGCCGTCAATACCGTGGAGGAACTGCGTGGTGAGGTCCACCTCGGAGACCGCGTGGTCGATGTCGGCGAGACCCGCAGTGAGCAGCTTCATGCGTCGCGCATACTCGTCGACGGAGAGATCGCCCTGTTTAAGGTTGCGGTATTGGCGGTTGAGCGTCATGTAGCGAGCCGCGTGATTGGCGAGGAAGTAGTCCCGGATCCGGGTCCAGAGATCGAAAGTGGTGGTGGCGCCGATCACGTGGTCAACGATCTGATTGGAGAGGGCGGCGTACATGGCGAGGGCGACGCGGGTGTCAAGTTCACGATACTGACTGTCGGCGTTGGGTGGAAGAGGGTGTTCGATGAGATACTGGATGCCATAGCAGATCAGGACCATAAGGAAGAACGATTTCCACTTGTGGTAATTGTGTTCGGCGGGTTTGAGCAGAAACTTGATGTGGTTAGTGAGATCGACGTTGAGAATGGGGTGTTTGGCCGGAGTGGCCGGTGGCAGCGGCGGCGCAGTGGAGTTGAAGAGAGGAGCGAACTGAGAGGAGGAAGGAGC